GTATTTATGTTACTTTCATGTACATTCTCTGTTGTAATCTTTGGCCCATTTCTCTGTTGCTTAAGGTATCAAGGATATTAACCACATATCTGCAATAAAGGTGGCAACTATTTTCTTCCAGCTTTTTATATACTTTGTACTCTTAAAATTTGCTATACAGATGGTGTTTAAATATATACAATCATGTCTCATTTAACGATGGTGATACCTTCTGAGAAAGGCATGGTTAGGTGATTTTTGTTGTTGTACTGATAGCAGCAGCAGGTTGTCTGGAGTGGCCGCTACTATCAAGCTGGCTGCAGCAGAGAGGTGTGGCCAGGGCTTCACCCTCCATGGAGACAGTGGGAATGGGGACAAGTGGGGGTCCAGCCCCTTCAAAATTGGGGTGGGAACTCCCTGCGTGCCCCTGCAGCTACCCAAGTCATGGCTGTGCAACTGGACATCCCTGTGCTCTTGGGAGTGGGAGCAGGGGGAAGCCCCAGCTTCCAGGGCACAGCTGTAGTCACCAAAAGCACAGCTGTAGACTTGGGCACCCCACGCCAGGGAGCAGGTAAGAGCCCTGCCCACCCCCCACACAGCTGTGGTACTAGGCATCTCTACACTTTTGGGAGCCCAAGAAGGCCCTCCATGCCATCACAGGTTTGGAAATACCTGCTCCTGCTGCCTGGCTTCTCCCTGCTGTAGGCACTCACTCCAATATCAGAGAAAAGTTGGGGCCAAGCCCAGGCACTGTTGCAGCCTGGCCGGGTGTGCACATGCTCAGTGCAGTGCTGATATGAAAGCCCCTTGTCACCCAGACCTTTCTGTTCTTTGAGCACTGACAGGAAGCCAAGGGGACGCTGAGGGCAGCTGAGGCTGGCGTGCAGGCTCCCCTTGGCTTCCACAGCCTAGGTGAATGGCACCAGGAGGCAGATAGGTTCCTAGGCAGAATTGGGTAGGTCCCTGGTGAGGCCCCACCTTCAGGCCAAGGAGGGCCTGAAGGCTGGGGTTTGAGCTGCCAGATCCGTGGACGAGAGTAGGAACTTGTGGTGCCTTCTGTGGGCCTGCCTATGGCTACCCATGGACCAATCAGCTCACACTTCCTCTCCTCTGAGTACCATGAAAGCCTTGGGGTCAGCCAGAGCTGAGTAGTTATCAGGATAACCAGCTGCAGAGGGGAGCAACCCATTCTAAGGCCTGCTCTCTGCTGACAGCTTCAGAGACAATGGGATGACCTGCCTGCAGAGATGAGCTGTCCATTCTAGAGCCGCCTGACTGCTGAGAGATGCACAATGGAACAACCAGCTGCAGAGAGGAGCTACACTCGGTTGAGGGCTGAACGCTTGTTGGGATGACTTGCCTAGCAGAGAGGAGCTACCCTCTATGCTAGGAGAGGAACACTCATTGGAACACCCTGGCTGTAGAAACGAGATGTCCCCTGTGGATTTCCTCTGAGCTGTTCTATTGCTCAATAAAGCTCCTCTTCGTCTTGCTCACCCTCCACTTGTCTGCATACTTTATTCTTCCTGGGCACAAGAAAAGAACTCAGGTCCTGTCAAATGAGGGTAAAGAAGCTGTAACACAAACAGGGCTGAGACATGCCCCTTGCTCACCATGTTGCAGGTGAAGAGAAGGAAAGAAGAGCTGCGGCCATTTGGGGAACCCAGACTGAGGAGCTCACTGAGCCAGGGCTGTGACTCTGTCTTTGAGTCAGTGAAGTTCCTGGCGTCTCCTAGCTTCCAGGCACCACTGTGGTCCCCAGTGCCAACTGTGGAAGCTCTGGTGCACCTGGTCTAGCTGCAGCTTAGTGGAGAGCTGACACATCTGACACATGCTGGCACCTGGAGCTCCCTGCCCTGCCTGCAGCAGTGGCCGTTTCTGACTGCACAGTACTTGGACCACACACTTGCTCACACACCCTTCCCTGCTCCCTGCAGTCTCCCGTGGCAGGTGTGTGACACAGGCCGGTAGCATGAGACAAGTGCAGTCTGCCAGGTCGAGTGGGTGGAATGAACACAGTGGGCCCGAGAAAAACTCAAGCAAAGGTGCCACCAGCCACAGAGGTTTCTAGCCAGAAAAGTGACACCCCAAAGATCCCATAACAGTACGAACATCATAGTGTGTACTTACACAAAACTAGATGGTATAGCCTACTACACACCTACGCTATATGCTATAACCTATTCCTCCTAGGCTGCAAATCAGTACAGTGTGTTACTGTAATGGATACTTTAAGCAATGGTAACACAATGGTAAGTATTTGTGTATCAAAACATAGAAGAGGTACAATAAAAATAGGATATAAAAGATAAAAATAGCTACCTGTATAGGGCAGCTCCATTATAATCTGGTAGAACTACTGTCATATATGTGGTCCATCGTTAACTGAAACATTGTGTGGAAAGAGAGAGAGAGAGAGAAGCAGTAATTCTCATTGTTAAAGAGAAATCCTAAACAAAACACTTAGGTTCATTGATTGACTTCCCAGATAACAGAGCAGAAGAATAATGGTTCTCTGTGTAATTATAGGTTTTGAGTCCCTGGACATTAATTTACAAGTTTGTTTCTCCAGGGAAAGTTGCTTAACTTCTCATAACTCCTGTACCCTGAGCTGAATAATATCAACAATGAACAGTAACTTGAATAGCTGTAAGGATTAAATTAGATAAAGTACCCACTGATTAAAATCCTCGTGAAAACATCAATAATCTTTTTGCAGGCCACCTTCCAGAGAGAGGAACAACTCTGTTTTCACATAATCCTCGCTTAAGAATGCTTTTATTCACGATAAAATTGTGAAGCAATTTATGGAGAATATAAACACCACGTTCTGGTTATGAGTAACATCTGAGGAGTAAAGGAAGGACAACTGAAATGAGGGGATGGGCTCAAACATTTGTCAAGTTTATTGCTTAATCTGGGTAGTGGATACACAAGTGTTCACTTCATGGCTCTCTATAACATTTTGCACATTTGATATGTTGGATTAGTAACAAACATTTTAGAAGCTGAAGGTTTATTCTGTCATAAATGTATATTCATGTTACCAAACGACTAAAATACAGCTAATTATAGAGATGAAAATATCAATAACCAGCAACCCATCATTGCTGGAAAGAGAACTGTTAACATTTTCCTGCGTTTCATTCCCTTCTTTTTCGTTTGCTTGCATTCGTGCAAATATATCGCAAGTATATAGCGTTGACATTTCATAGAACTGTGATATATACACAGTTTTGTACTTTATTGTTTTGTTGATGTTTTAATTAATATTAAATATTTTGCTACGGGGAAAGTATTGAAGTTTGATTTTTATCGAACCATCTATAGATGCATCTGTCTCATTTCTAAAACAATGCATCTGAATGCACGGATTGGAAATGCCAAATCTGTTTTATATTAAATAATGTTACAAATCTGGGACTGCTCCTGAGCTTTTCATAGTCTTCCTTTAAACTGTATGCCAACCAGTCTGTTCCAAACAAAGATGAAGGTGCAGCACCACAGAACAATTACATTGCCTGGCAATGCAAACCCCATTTACACAACTCTCCTTTTGGATGGTGGGGAGGAATAACAATAAATACAATGAATGACGCAAATGCATATTCATCACTAGAAGATGCTGGGCGTTTGATATGGTTTGTCTCCATGTCCCCACTCATGTAAAATTATAATCCCCAAGTGTCAGGGGTGGGGACTGGTGGGGGGTGATTGGATCAAGGTAGCAGATTAACCCTTGCGCTGTTCTCATGATAGTGAGTAAGTTCTCATAAGATCTGATGGTTTAAAAGTGTGGCGCTTTCTCTCTCTCTCTCTCTCTCTCTCTCTCTCTCTCTGTCTCCCTCTCTCTCTCTCTCTCTCTGTCTCCTGCCACCACGTAAGACGTGCCTTGCTGGCCCTTTGACTTCTGCCATGATTGTAAGTTTCCTGATGTCTCCCCAGCCATGCATCCTGTACAGCCTGCAGAACTGTTAAACCACTTTTCTTTATAAATTGCCCAGTCTTGGGTAGTACTTTATAGCGATGTGAAAATGTACAATACAGCTTTGCTCTGAGTGCTTTCAATGCAGTGATCCATTTAATCCAAGGCTTAGAGAGGTACAGGAGCTTGCCTTTGACTGTTGAGGCACTACAGGGAAGAACAAGATGGACATTATTCTTTTTGTAATGACAACTACCCCCTTAGTTCCTAGTTTTAAGAAATTCACATTCCAACATATGGCTCCCTAATGTACATGCACATAAAGAACTGAAAAGTGCAAGTGGTAGGAAATAATGTATGTCAAACACGAAAGTGGAGGCATAATTTGTAAACTGGTGGTACCTCTCCTATGTCATCATTTATAGGACTATGACTTGACAACGTCATACTGCTATTATTTTAATTTTGAAAAGTATGCCTGCTGATTGTCTAACGTGCAAGCATCTCAGAAGTGTAGGCAATAAATTGTGCAAATGTCCCACTCAACTCTTGCCTGCACTTTGGAACTGACCACCTTATGGTCGGTTCTCGACAACTGCTAAATGCCAGTCGTTGAGAACCGACCGTAAGGTGAGATTCTGTGCTACTGCTGTTTGTTTAGAAGTGAAAATAAATGGCTGAACACCGTCGAGAACATGGACATGGAGCACCCGATGTCAGCTCTCTGAGGAGTGCGCTGGGCCGACGGGCTGAGTCTTCCTCCCTCTGCAGGTGCGGACCTGAGACTCCTCCTCGAATAGTGCACCTTCGGGAAAGGGAGGGGCCGAGACGGTGGATGAAAGCTCCTGGTGTGCCAAGGTAACATGCCTGCTTCTGTGGGCCTCCAGGTCGAGCATCTGTCTCTCAAGGTCAATCTCTGGAGGGAGCGTGTGTCCTTTCTCATCAGGGTTTATTGACAAAATTACCTATGAAGGAAAGCCAGATCGATGTATCTGCTAAGGCCGGCCAGGGGTGAACAGGTATGCAGGGCTTTCAGTCCTGGCCCCACTGGCGCACGGTTGGGGCAGGAGAAGAGCAATCCAGGGCACACAACGTACAACGTGCAACATCACTCTTTATTATGAAAATAAACAGCGATAATGAGTGGGGCAAATACACAGAGCAAGTGGCTCTTCGGGTGGTTATGGCATGCAGTCTGCCAGTTAACTTTGGCTTCCTGATCGGCCAGGCCTCCAACGCCGCTCCTGGCCATGGCCTTAGGCTGGTGAATAGAGGAAACAAAGAGGATGTGAACGAAGACAAAGAAGACATGGAAGGGCTCCTTTCAGGGGATCTGCTTGAAGGCCTCCGCTGGGATCTTGCCCTGGGTCTAGAGGAAGTAAAGGAAAGAAGGAGTTGGGATGTTAGCAGAGCCAGGTGCCCTGAGTTCCATCCCCACGCTACCTGGCCTCCATCTTCTTGGCCCTCCCGACGGCCCAGAGACAGCCGTCTTTTGCCCACTTGATTCCCAGACCTCACCTGGAGCATAGTGAAGACCTGACCAGCTCTGGTGTAGTTCCACTCATTGTCCTGAAGGCACCTGGGGTGGGAGAAGAACAGGTGGCTCTCCATTACTGTCCCAGGACAGGCACGCCGACCGTGCAATGCCACACTTACTCTATGCTACCCTTTTTCTGGGACACACGTATCAATATGAGCACTCTTGTAACCATGAAAAAAGGCCTAGGGAAAACCAAAACTCCTATCCCTGACATTCATGCCCACTAGAATTCAAATCGGAGCTTAATACATACTGGTAAAGAAAGATGTTCAAGAAATAACAAGTGGAAATTCAATAATACGTTTCTTTTTTATTGAGATATAACGCACATACTGTAGCAGTCACGCCATTTTAAGGTGTACAATTCAGTGCCTTTACGTATATTCACAAGATTGTGCAACCATCACAACTATCTAATCCCAAACTATTTTGATCACCTCAAAAAGAAACTCCTTAACCGTTAGAGATCACTCCCCGTTCTCCCTTTTCCCCGGATCTTGGCAACCACTACTCTGCTCTCCGTTTCTAGGGATCTGCCCGTTCTGAACGCTTCATGTGAATGGAATCATCTAATTATGTGGCTCTTTCTGACTGCCTGCTCTCACTTAGCACACAATGTTTTCAAGGTTCACCCATGTCATAGTATATAACACAACTACATTCTTTTGTATGAATGAATACTATTGCAATAGTATACCACCGTATGGATGCACCACATTAATCTATCCATTCATCAGCTAAAGGTCACTCGATGTGTTTCCATTTTTTGACTATTTCGAATAATACCACTATGAAAATTCATGTGCAAGTTGTTGAATGGGCATATACTTTCATTTCCTTTGGTATACACTTAGGCGTGGGATTACTGGGTCATGTGTTAACTCCGTATTTAAGATTTTGAGGAACTGCCAAAATCTTTTTCCCAGCGACTGCTCCATTTTATGTTCCCAGCAGTGATACATGAGATTTGCAATTTCTCTGCATTCTCCCCGACATTTGTAATGTTTTCTTTCATTGACTAAAGCTATCCTAGCGGGTATGAAGTGGTAACTCAGTGTGGTTTTGATACGCATTTCCCTAACGACTAATGATGTTGAGAAGTTTTGCACGTGCTTGTTGGTCATGTTGTAGTTTTGCACGTGCCTGTTGGTCGTCTTTGGAGAAACATCTATTCAAATCATCTCCCCATTTTCTAACTGGGTGGCTTGTCTGTTGCTTGTTGAGTTGCAAGGGTTCTTCTTGTCAGCGATGTGATTTGCAAATATTTTCCCCTGTTCCACCGAGTCGGTTTTCCACTTTCTTGAGAGTGTCTGTTGATGCACCAAAGCTTTTAATTTAGATGAAGTCCAACTTACCTTCCCCCCCACCCCTTTGGTTGCTTGTGCTTTTGGTTTGATGTGTAAGAAATGGTTGCCTAATTCAAGGTCATGAAGCTGTACACTTATAGTGTTTTACAGTTCTAGCTCTTACTTTTAGGTCCTTGATCCATTTTCGGTCAGTGTTTGCACATGATGTGAGTTAGGGGCCAAAAGTAACTATTTGGCAAGTGGATATCCACTTGTCCCAGCAACAACTGTAAAGAAGACTATTTTTTTCCTTTCAGCACCCTGAATGATAATCAACTGGACATAAATGAGTCGGATTACCTGTGGACTGTCAATTTTATTCCACTGATTCCCACGTCTGTTCCTATGTCGGGACCATGCACTCTTGATTAATGTAGTTTTGTAGCAAGTTCTGAAATCGGCAAGTGTGAGTTTTCTAACATTGTTCCTCTCTTTCAAGATGGTTTTGGCTGTTTTGGGTCCACTGTATTTCCACATGAATTTTGGGGTTACCCTGTCAATTCCTGCAAAGAAGCCAGCTGGGATTCTGGCAGGGACTTCAATCAATCTGTAGGTTGTTCTGGGTGGTACCGGCGTCTTAATGATACTAAGCCTCCCGATCGATGAACGTGGGATGTCTTTCCATTTATTTAAATCTTCTTTCGTTTTTTTTCAGCAGTGTTTTGCAGATTTCAGAGTATAAGATTTGTGCTGCTTCTCTTAAGTTTGTTCCTACTTATTTTATTTTTTTCGATGCTACTGTAAATGGACTTCTTTCCTTAGTTTCATTTTTTTGGATTGTCCATTGCAACTACATAGAAGTGCGAATGATTTCTGTATATTGTATCTTGTAACCTTGCTGAACTGGTTTATTAGTAGTTTGTTGTGCTGGATTCCTGCAGATTTTACATGCGGAAGGTAATGTCATTTGGGCATTGTGTCATTTGAACACTTATTTACCTATACCAGTATAAAAGCATGATACCTTTTTCATGGGCCCACTTTTTTTTTTTTTTTTTCCGAAGCAAAATATCCAGGTTGTTATTTTTCCAAATTGCACGTGAGTCTCCACTGCTCACTCCTATGATGTCCCAACTCCCCTCATCCTCATGTACTCCCAGCACTCACTTCTGAGACCATTCCAGCTTCATCCCAGACTGGGCAGAGAAAGCCTGCACCATTTCCTGCTGCTCCCGGGAGAGGGAGGGCTCAGAGCTGGAGGAGGGTGTGGACACTGGGATGGAGAAGGCACTCTGAGTCTCTTGGGGGCTGGCGTCCCTCACAAACAGCTCGTCATTCACGATGCACAGACTGGAGGAAAGAAAAATGCACCCTCAAACTGGACAGGTAGACAACTCCACACCCCCGACAACAGGATCCTTCTTAACCACTGCCACTCAACAACCAAATTCCTTCCATATCCCTACTGTGCCTGCCTCCCGGATTTTTTTTGGCTGGTACCCTCTAACCCTCCCACGGAGTCCACTTTTGGAGAGACTACCAGCTTCACTAGATTTTCAGATCTAAGCCCAGCACGTTTACCCTGTACGAGAGCCCAAGGAAGTGGATAGCCTTATTCCGCTTTTCAGAGAAAGACGATGAATCACAGAGAGGTCGGCTAAGTTGATGAAGGTCACACAGTTTGTGAGTGTTGCGGTGAGGAAGAGAACCCTACTCCGACTCCAGGGCCCACACTCTTAAACACTAGGGGAGGCTGCTCCTTGGATCTACCTGTTGGCCTTCCATCATATTGAGAACACCCCGAGGACTGCACCCACCACATTCCCACAACACTATCCCCAGGCTGGGATGGGTGCTCCCACCCACAACACAGAACTAACCTGGAATTGCTACCAGGGGTAGCAATGAAGGTCCGGGTGAAGGCGAGAACAGAACCCTGAGACTGTCCTTCCACTTCAAAGACAACAAACACCACCACCTTAGAGTTGCACAGGCTTTACATGCTCACACGGTGATCCCCAGTCAGAGCCTCGCTTGACACTCACACAGAAGCGGGGTAGACCAGGACAACTGTTCACATGGAGTCAGGAGGATGTGGCAGGAATGGGGAGGGCAACAACGGGAACAATCTGCTCCCAGTGATAGGGCCCCGATCATGTGTGGGGCCCTGTGAAAACCACAAGTTCACTTGATTCCTATTTCACAGTAGCCCAAGAGATGGGTCATTGTTGGCCCCATTTTGCAAATGAGGAAACTGAAGGGTTAAGTAACCAGCACAAGTTCACAGGGTAAGAACCTGGGATGAGAGCTGTCAGACTCCACAGTCTGTGTCCTTAAAGCACGCCTGAGCTGTGCAGGGCAGACAGGCATGGACCTAGTTCAGACCAGGGTGGTTTGCGGGCGCAGTGGGGGTGGGAAAACATGGAGGGAAGACGAGGAGGGAAAGGGACAAAATCAGGGAAGCTGGGAGAGTTCTGAGAGGGAGCCCAGCCAGAGGGGGGAAGCAGTGGGGATCTGGGGAGGGGACTCTACAGACACTCACCTTCCTTGAACACCCCGTTGACAGAAAAGCAGAGCATCCATTTCTGAAAGGGAAGAGCTCAAGTGCTCAGGATCCTCCTTAACCTCCTTACCCACCTCTGGCTCTCTGGGCCTGCCCGAGGGAAGAAGCAGGTGCTCACCGTCTGGTACCACATGTCCACCAGGATGGAGCTGAGGTCATGCTGAGTCTTGGGCAATGCACTGAGGAAGTCCACAATGTCACGTTTTGTGTGTTTCAGCAGTTCCTCCCTCAGGTCTGTAGAGGAGAGGAGAAGGAAGGAATGGGGGGGGCGGGGGCTGCCACACTCTGATCTGTGGCCTCTGTGATTGTTCCTGCCACACCCCCTTACCTTGCCCACTCTTCCCCCTCACACACTTACAGGGGTCCTTGAGTGTTTTTATATTCCTGCTATCCTCAAAGTACTGGCTCAAGCTCTTCCTAGGAGAGAAAGAGGAGCAAGTGTGGGTGGTCCGGCCAGTGTGGACATTTCCAGGAGCTGGCCTGTGTCTGCTGGGAAGACACACAGCCACGGAGCAGGGTCTGAGCCCCGGTACTCACGGGGCTGAGTCCTCGGGGTTGAAGGGAATAGTCACGGAGAAGCAGGCCTCCTCATGGTAAGCACCAAGGAGGCCCCGTCTATCTCCAGAGTCATAGATCGAGTAATACCTGTGGGGAAGCAGTGAGGATAGGCTATCTCTGTGGCCTGGGCCCCAAATGAGACTGGAAAACTCCCGTGAACTGATCTGTTCATGGGTGGCCCAGTCTGCCTCAGCCCTCCACTTCCTCACGGTCCCAGGGATACTCACTGCTGCAGGAACCGCAGGACTATATGCTTTAGGGTCTCAGATCCATTACAGCTTTCCTGAAATCAAAAGACAATTTGGACCTATGCAGTGGACAAAGCCTCCCTTACAACACTCCAAATCTTGTCGTTTGGTCCTTCTTCCTCACCTCGCAGGGTTTCATTAACTCAGAGCTGTCAATGTCAACAGTCGTTGTTGAGGATAACTCTCGGCCGTCCTGGAGAAGGAAACAGGAAGTCGGCAGTGGAGACCAAGGAGGTGGAGCTGGATGACCCATAAGATGAACATGCCCGGGGAGAAAAAGCATCAGAAGCCAGGTGGGAAATGGCCCTGGAATTTCCAGTGGGCGGCTTTCTCATGAGGTGCCAGACATCTCTACAATTACATGCCAGCATGGGTGTTTGTGCGCGTGTGTTTATGGACACATTTTTCCAGGCAGAATATTCTTGTCCTTTTCCAGAATCCATGCCTCTAAAATGGATGAGGGTCTGACACAAGCATGTAGTCTAGGCAAGATCCAAAGGACTTGAGGGCAGGTGTGGAGGTCATGTTCTGGAGTAGGAGGAGACTGACGGTATGATAGATACTTACCAGGCGTAACAACTTGGGGAAACAATCCTGGATGGCACTGTCCGAAACCAAAAATAGAATGAAGTGACTGACAGTTCAGGGTTGTGTGGCCTCTCTCCCTCTCCTTTCTCCTGGTTAGCTTCCACCTAGACTGCCCTCACTCCCTTTTCTCCAGTGCCACAAGAAGCAGCATTGGGAGCCCAGGTTCCAGGGCTTTCTTCCCCTCCCTCTCTTCCTCGCCTTTTTCCAAGCCAACATGGAAGGCTCTGCAGGGAGCAGGAAATGGGGTGGGAACCCAGGGCTCTGCTACCTCACTGGCTGTCCATCAACCTGGCCAAGAGCAGGTAAGCCCTTAGGGATGGCCCAGGGTGCTGGGACCGGGAGGTGAGTGAGGCCGGGCTCAGGAGGCAGGAAGGCGGGGGGGATGACAGTAGAAATGGGGTGAAGGTAGGGGTGGGAGAGACGGGGGAAGACATAGGAGATGAGAGACAAAGGAGATGCAGGACGCAAAGCAAAGGGAAGGGAAAGATGCTCTACTGTGGGGGTGGACTTCAGGGAGGAAGAGAGGAGAAAAAGGCTCCCCTGCTGCAGCCCTTTCCCTCACCGTCTGCTGGCTGGCCCTGGGGACCGAGGCAGGAAAGGAAAACATGTACCTGTTGGGCCGGGGCCCGCTGGATGCAGCTGGAGCCTTTCTCACCTGTGTGAGCTCAGTCTGAGCTGGGCATGGGAAACAGAGCAGCCACGGGGACAGGAGACCTTCTCCCAGGAGGAGTGAAGGGTCAGGCCCCAGCTCAGCATGGGGTTCAGACTCTGGGGACCCCCTCTCGCGGCCACTGCATTCTCTTCTGATGGTCCCTGGAGCCTGCGCCCCAATGTGCTGACACCTTGACCGAGGAAGGCTACCCGTCTCTGGCTACCCAGGGCTCCTCTGAGGGCCCAGGCAAGACAATGTGAGGTGTGGAAGGAAGGAGGGGCAGTGGCTTGAGAGGTCTGTCTTTCTGTCTCCTCAACCTCCTCTGCCCAGTGCCTTCCACTCCTGACTCGGGAATGTGGCCCACTTCCGGTTCCCTGACTCGTTAAAGCCAGGTTTCTCCTCAAGGAGGGCCCAGCTTCTGGCATGCGGCCAGAGGAAGAGATGGCAAGACAGCAGCCACCCAGGACCTCGGCCCCTAGCATGGGACAGGGAAGCCCTCACGCCAGCCCAGGACAGGGGCGTGGACCTTTCTGGAGCAAGAGAAGGAGAACCCCTATCGGGAGAGTGGAGGGAACTCCCATCTCACCATGGAGGCAGGAAGGCCTGTCTCAGCATGAGGCCCAGGGCCACAGGACTCTTCTCGGTCCAGGGCACCAGCCTCTGAATACTGCTGGTCCTGCGGAGGTGGGGGAGCCCCACTTCCTGGAGCACACTCACAGAAGACACGCTGGAGGAGGCCGGGCAGAGACAGGAGGGAAAGGCACCCCAGAGCAGGTGAGAGGAGCATGTCAGAGGAAGGAAAGGAGACAG